ACCACGTCCGTCCACATATCACAAGGAACGGGGGCCTCGTTGAATCCATCCAAGCCGTCCTCAAGTGCATTTTTCCATTTCGATAATGTGTGCCGGCCTTTTCGCGGAACACACAGCCTCCTTACCAGAGGTAACCCCTCCAGAACTACATGTTCGACAACATAATCCCCCTTTCCTTTCGTAGCTTCCTCCTTTTTTTTCTCTTATTCTATTTGTTTTTTCTGTTTTCATGTTTAGCTTCTTCAACTCCTTCTTTCAGCCAGATAAAACCTTGCCTTGTTTATCAAATCTAATGGTGTGTTTCTCCTCATGAATTTAAGCCTACCTGGTTCCACTTTTTGAAAAAACGTTTGGACAATCTTTATTTTTAACCTTATTTTAATCTTTAGTCTTCATTTAAGTTCCACCTTTTGTCCACTTTTGACATGCTTTCTTATAGCTTTAATTAAATTTTAGCAAAAGAAAACAACTGGAACACTGGGGAGAAAACAATCAAAAAAGGAGAGATTGTTCAGAGCTATTGACTCTTCTTTGCAATCTTAACGCTCCTCCATTAAACTTTCATTCTACCCATTCATTTACGGACATCTGAAAGGGTATAGGAAAATCGTTTGCTAAAACATTCAAAAATTCATGATCCGTCAACCACAAGTTCATTCCTTGTTTTTTTTTTTTCGAATGACACGTTTTATTTTTGACGTGGGCTCTTGTTCGATCGTTTGACAACCATTATCCTGTGTTTCGCACTATAGAACCACTGAACCGTGTACAACAACGTAATTTTCACTGTTCTGTGAGCTCCGCCTTTTCGCGGACGCCGCTCTTTTCCCGGCCGCATCTGCCCGCGTTCATGTTACGCACTGACTGACTGCGCCGGCGCGGTCGGTTCGATGGGGGGGGGGGGGGGGGGGGGGGGGCGATCGAATATTCACATTACATGACACAGCAGTTTTTCAAGGCCATCATGCTATTGGCATATGTATAAATCCATTTTGTTTGTATGCATGAATGTGATTGTGTGAGCGGGACGTTCATCACCGGGGAGAGAGAGCAGGCGCAGCTTTCACACAGCCGCAATGTTCGCAATTCATCACTGTTCAATAACTGCATGCATCGATGGCGTTCTCGGGAGATACCCGAGAAGGTTCAAGACCTAACCATGTGTTGTACTGAGTTGCCCGTGCTACTTTTGTATTTTGAGCGTTCTAGATTTGGGCTTGAAGAAAGCTTGCAGGATTAAGGGAAGGGTGCACTGAGGGTATCGCTAAGTGTTCGGGAGCAACCGGGGCGCATAGATGGGACTTCATCGTCAAGCTGGCGCGTGGCTCGGTGAAAACGCAATGGCATGAGCGCTGCGAGTAGAACGCGCGAACGCCCAGCACTAGCAGGCACGGCGCTTTGCGAACACACACATGCACAGCACACAGCACACAGCCAGCGTATAAACTCGCACTCACACTCACATGCAATTGGAGCAGCTGGCATAGCTACGCTAGTGCCCCCCTCGCGCTGAGTTCTTCCTGTGGGCATCGCGATGCGACGATAAAAAGCGAACGATGCGAAGCTCCGCCCTTGGTCGTGGTCGCCGCAACCGCTGCCGCGCCACGCCCTACAGCGAACGGTGTTCGCGCGACTTCGCGCCACGGACGCGGCGGCCGCGACAAGCTCATCGCGTCAAACGCGGCCCGTGCAAGCGTGTCGTCCGCACGTCGCACTTTAAAACGCGATTAGTTAGTGTCGAAGAAGAGATCGGACTCATGCACGTCACTCTTCAAGTGTCATCCGCTTTGCCTCGATCGTTCTTGCCTCCTCTATGATCGGGCTGTTGCTGCTTTCCGCTCTGATGATTCACGTCGTCGTTTTCGCTATAGCTGTGTTGTGCGGGAACGCGCACGGAATGGGGTTTCATATCTCGGGGAAAAACGACTTTTTCTGCTATTTCCATTGAGAACATTTGTCATGCGTTCATAGGCAGCAGATGCTGATCAAACGAAAGTTTGTCGTCGCTTCCGTCCTCCTTTTCTACTGAACATTTGACCATATCGCCGATAAAAGACGTAAAAAAACCCTCTTTATAGATGACTGCATATCTCTAGCATACATACATATATCAATGATTTGATTTTGATTCGTTCTCGAAAATTTCTCACCACCACCCCCGAACGAACGAACGCCACAATCGCCGCCGTTCAATTGCTGATAATATCATTCAGTGGTGGCTGTTGTGTCATTGAACATTCGTTTCTCGTCACAATTTCAGCACTTCGACGGCGCAGAGTCGCAACCGCTCGACTTGAGAAAGCGAGACATAAGTCCGTCAGCAAGTACGAGTACGACACAACAACAAGTTTTGCCCGTATTCTCATCGACTGATGACTATTACACGGCGAAACTGACGAACATCGTGGAGGTCCATACAGAATCGAATTCTCTTCTGAAGTCGTCGACGACAACGCAAACGCCTTCACCGAAATCTCAAAAGGGCAATTATTTCCTCATCGAATCCCTACTAACACCTGCGCATTCATCCGACTTATCATTGGATTCCACCTGTAAGGTACATTTCGTGTTTTCGCTTGATCTTCATTTGCGAGCGTTGTGTTCTTTTTTTGTTTTGTTCGATGGCTCGCGTTCCAATTATTTCGTTTAGGGAGTCGATAGAGCACCTGTGTTTTTCGGGTGTTCGTTGGCAGCGTCGTTCAGAAATCCAATCGCCACTTTCGATATTCCGAAGCGTAGCAGAATCGAGCCGGAGCGTGACGTCGCCCGGGCGCCGGCGCCAGCCGTGCTCAGTCCTCATCGTTCCAACGGACAGGAGACGTTGAACGCTACAAGCTCGATGAAGAAGCTGAAACGAGAACCGGACGAGACCACCAGCGCCACCATGACGCCACCGCCGAACATCTGCGTCGAAGACGAGGTGGGCTTTTTGTTCACGCGTTTCCTGAGGTCGCCAAATAGGGAATGGGGGCGGTAAAGCAGGGAATTCTAAGGCACACGACAAAGTGCATGAGTATGTATGTGTGTCCTTTTGTGTGTGTGTGTGTGTGTGTGTGTGTGTGTGCTCAATTGTCACTAACTCCCCCTCGCCCTTCAACTCTCGCCGGTCCCTTAACTTGGCCGCTAGCATATCTGTCAGAGAGAGCGGAAAGTAGCGTGTCCTTGGGCTACCCTAACCACAATGCGTTCGCTTCTCAAGGCCAGCACTGGAACATCCCATATATAAAACTGAACTCGGTGTTCTCTGCGACTCTCGACGTTGCGCGGCTTTCGGCTGTTTCTGTTGTCGTGTTGTCGAATCGTCGTCAAGAGAGTTCCCCTTCCTTATTCAATCTCCTCTACCTCTACAACCCTTCCTTCTTTCGATGTCACTCGAGCTGATTTTACGTGCCCTAATGGTGAGTGGTAACTGTCACTTCATTGATCGCTATGTATTTTCTTTTTTTACTTTCAGTTTTTTTTTTTATCATTTCTGTTGATATTTTCCTCGGTATGCCACTATCGATTAGTTTTTTTGACTTCTTGCTTGGGGCTCTCTTTTTATTTTTTCAGAAAGAAGTACATTTGCTTTCGCTTTGCATGCTTTTCACTTTTTCAGAGCTCAGATTTTGTAAATTCTCGAGCAAAATTTCCATTGTCTGTATGAAGAATGTATAGGTATGTGCGTATGAGCGTGTGTGTGTGTGTGTGTGGAGGAAAGGAGGAGTGGAGGATTAGAGATGAAAAGAGATGGACCAGAGAGGGACGTTGACTGAGAGAGCTTCGATAAACAATTCTCTGACAGTGAAGATAGCGTACGTTTCATGCAGGCGCAGGCCAGGGTGTTGCGAGCGCCGTTTTTTTTTACGAACGGCCGAAGACCGCCGCCACACACACACACACAGCCAGCCAGCCAGCCAGCCAGCCGTTCCCCTTTGTTGGAATCGATCAAAAACGTCCAGTAAGGGCAACCTTGGAACGACATGAACGTCTAGGCCAAGAGGGAGAAGGGACGAGAGGGTGGGTGCGGTTGAGGCGTCGTTACCCCCTCAACGACTACATGGCGCTCCTGAATGAGCAGTATTCGACCAAATGTTTTCTTTCTACTTGTAGGATGATTAAACAGATCAATAGATCATAGAATATTCGGCGAATTTGTTCAATATCGGTCAGGGAAGGGGTTTGGGGATGGTCCGACGGGGATGACACAGCTGCGGCAAACGTTATTAAAAGTGCAAACGTGAGCGCCTGTGTTTGAGAGCTGCACGACTGGCATCGATCAAGAGAACGATGTGAATTGAAACGGTATTGTCATATGCTACCAGGCAATACCAGTATTTTCATCGAAAGAACTGATCACCATTCCGTTTGTTCTTGGTGTCAAAGTTGCTCTCCCATTTGGTGAACAATGGAGAGATAGCAGAGATAAGAGACAAAGTAGTTCTGTAACGACACATTATGGAAATCAGCCTATAGCAAGAAGTAGCGATGTTTTTGATTCGAACCCTGTGTTCGTCGTCGATATGGTCATCAGAAATACACCCATGCTGACGTTCCTCTGATTCTCCTGTGTCGCTACCCTTCCATCAGCCGTCGTTGAATACGAAACGGTCGAACATGGTCATCGCCGTCATGTATAGATGTCTTATCGGTCGAGTCGCACCAAAAACGGCCTCTCCTCCTTCGAATCGTCTTTTGTGTTCCAAAATGGGTTCGATCTGCCAATAGTTCTCCACCCCATCGTCGGTTTCAAGGTCATGTCGTCGCCATCGCCGAGCGCACTTCCATCCCACCATCTGCGCGTTCGTTTTTGAAATGCAGAGATAAGGTGTGTGTATGTGGGTATTGTATGTATGTGTGTGTGCCCGTGTATGCAGGGGTGTGTGTCGAGACAGATCGTAACTGTCGCATCCGTCGCATATTCCCCCGTTCGCGGCGAGCAACCATTGAACGAAGTGAGATGAGGGAGCTGCAGCAGCTGATTATGGCTGAAGCACGTCAACGGTTCTCAGGCTAAAAGTATCATTCACATAGACGCACGAGGACGTCTCAAATTGTTTATCAGTTGTTGACGAATGTAGTGCCAAGCACCGCAACGACTACAAGCGTCCGCGAAATGAACGCGGCCGCCCGAGTGCTCACAGCGTCGACCCTTTAGTAGTATTCCCTCGAACCGAACGTGAATGCCGATCGTTTTAGCGGAAAAGCCGTTTTCTTGATGGCGCCGAAAGCTTTCACGTCAACCATTTGGGATTTCTGAAGAGCTTGACGGCAACAAGTCCACTTGGGGTCGCGGAAAACAAGGGGGACTTTACTTCCTGTTTACGTTCACTCTCGCGACTTCTTCTGTTGTATACATAACGCCCAGCATGGCGGGGCGATTGCTGCACTTTCTGGTCGACACATGAAAGCAAAACAGGTTTTTGATCTTATACGCACCCCACAATGTTTCTCGTTTGTTGCGTTCTTCGACAACGTACCGATTGAAGCGCTCGCCCGCATTATGTCTTTGACGGTGCGTGCGATGAGCATGGCCTAACCTCTGATTAGGTGGTCGCCATAGTCATCGAACTCCCTTCATACTTCATGCTCCTCGCTCTTAACGAGATTGGTGAGAGCGAAGGTCAGACGAAAGCGATACGAACTTGCGAGTCGGTAGTGTAAAGCGGGGTTGAAGCGTTCTCCCAGTTGGTCGCACGCGATGCTCGTTCACCTCGTTTTCGCTGAGGTGTTCCCATCGTTTTATTGGCACATTTTCCATGATTTTCCTATTTCCCAATGTTTTTCAAGCGAAAAAGGCCTTAATATGGTGTTTTGCTATTTGCCAGAGTTTTTCATCGGCCAAAGATTCGCTTCCTTTTTTTTCTCGACGGGGTTGTACGAAGCGTGACACAATGACAGGGGAGCAGCAGGTGAAACACGTCAAACTCGTTCTTTTCATTCCATTCACTTCCATTTCTTTCACAAAATTATTTATTCAGCCCTACTATGGTTCAACGGTAGCTGCTGCTACTGAGCGCATACGCTGCCCGATTCTATTTCCCCTTCACTGTTTTCAATGCATAACCTATTACTATTAAGAATGGGTCCTGGGACGTCCTGGGACATATTGCCACGTTCTGACGTCTGGTTCTGACGTTATTTGTGTTGTGTTTAGTTGCCCTCTTTGGTTTTTCGTGGATATACCATCTGGCTGTCACCTTGCGGCCCGTTCCTCCTGACCATATATCAATCAGGTTGATTTCAAGGCTAACTTTTCTGAAAAGTTGAATATGATTTGAACCCCTGTCCTCTGTCACTCCACACTTTCTTGCCCTCTGTATGGCAGCGTGGCAACTGAATTCGCTCTCCACAACTCAACAGCTTTGCACCGAACTTTCCCACGTGCACGACTTTTTCTGGCTAAATGCGCTCTCCCTAAGTGCGATTGCATAAGTCACGCTTCATCAGGTCTATTAATAGGTGGTTTTTTTCGTCTTTGCATAAAAGCACATCAAAAGGGATCTCAACCTTTGGAAGGATCAAAAATGGGAGGAGAGATTAGGGCAGTAGAGCGTTTTGGGTGAATACGGCAATGGTTCCCGAAGGGCATACCACAGAACAGCCACTTCACCTGAATTCTAGAGTTCTACTCGAAGCTAGAAAATCTCTAATCACAATTAGCACCTGTGATATAGTTTGTGGACTTGTACTGATGATTACCTAGCTAAACTTACAAATGGTACGAGTTAAGTTTGAAAGTGCTTCTGTACAGATTACTAATGGATCAATGAGTTCTCCGTACTGATAAGCAGTTAATGAAGTTTCAAGGTAAAAAGTGTAAACTGCTCATTCCCATAATCAGCAAGTTTTTTTTTGGAATATTCTTCCAAAGCAGTAGCAAAGAAACTATGTGCAGTATCCCAGCGATAATGATCCGGTTGAATGAGAAGAAAAAAAGGAATTCATTGAAGTATTTACAAAGCAGTTTCCCATCACAGTTCTCATTTTTCAACATACATAATTATACAAAAGGGTTCCTACTCATGAGGCTAATAAACTGTAACTATCAATCACTACTCTGTAAATTGATTCCGGTGTTTGCACTTTTGATCTTGCTCTTTTTCTGCATGACGGCCGAACTCGATCGATTCATTGATTGGGATAGCTGCTGGCTGACATATTCGTTGCACATGCTCCCTGATGTTGCTCGATGGTTCAATTTTTTTCAGATCCCCCGAAATTCGATTGTTTTCATTTTGGGCATCAAGAGCTAAACACTGCACTTTATGGGAACACGGGAGCGGGCGCAATGTCGACGTCGTCGTCGACGGCGGAGGCCGCGGCGACGACGGCGGCGGTGCTTCTCGAAAACACCTCAAAATCGATTCGTTCGAACTCTTTGTTTCGCACTTCTTACGCATGAGATGAGGCGAGTGCGAAAGCATGAGAGCAACACATGGGAAACCCTTCCTAGTCTGTTCGTTGTTTGCTTAGAAGGAACTGTGATAACCCAAAAAGAATCCATTGTCGCCCTGTTCCTCCGCAGTGATCCCGGGCGACAATCGCCGGCAGTCCAGCACGGACGGCGACCTCCGAATCGCTCCCCACACGAAATATGACCGAGGTGGCATGGACGGACGTTGGTGGAAGTCCCCCTGGTCCCATGTCTAGACCGTAATCCGTTTCGGCTTTCGCTGCGGTTTGTCTTCCTCACACTATGTTTGTTATCACTTTCTCCTATCCTCTGCGTCCTGTCCCGTTCGCCCTTGCGATGTCTGCCGTCTCTGTGTTCCCCATGGTCCCTCGTTACCCACTACTGCTAACCGGCTTTTTGTGCGTTCTTATGGTTAGTGGCACCCGTCTGGCACCCTGGACTTGTCAGAATGCTCTACCACGATGTCTACAGTAACATTCATGTAAGTTGTTTTTGGTGATACATTTATTCGGGGTGAGTGAGGGTGAGACAAAGCCCAGTGACTGAGCCAGACGTCCCGTCTTCAGTCAGACGTCGGGCGCTCTCGTCTACTGGGTGAATACGATAGATCTCGATGTGGGAGCGATAAATAAACAGTGATGAAACTGTTCGCTCCTTACTTTCTGACTCATGGGGACCGGGTCGTGGACCTTAGTGATTATGCTGATGCAATGAGTCGAGTTGTAACCCCTGTTTTCCATGATAGAGGCTACAAACGAACAGATGTGATCTCAAATGATGAAAAATCTGAACTCTTCATCCGAGTGTTCTCAAAATTCTTTTACACTTTGCCTAATGACTTCTCCATATCTCTGGGAACGTTTTTTGTACTCTGTTGTTTACCATAGATGAGTGACTTGGTGTGTGTGTGTATTCGGTCTCCCTGGCAGTTTTTATGCGTGCGATTCCGGTGCGACGGAACGCAGAGCAATTTACAGACGATTTCTGTCGCCGTTCGTACTGTTTTCCCAGCACCGTATTCAGCTCATTCATTGTCATTTTACATCCAAAATTTCTACCACCAATAATTGGTATTGTCTTATTGCTCTCGACCAAGTTCCAACATCCCCTAATAACGTGGCCTTAACTTATAGTTCGGTTTCCGCTCGTTTCCTTCTCAACGCTTTCATATTCCTGTGGTATTTAAGCTTCTAAAGGCATCTCTATTTCCGCCTGTCATCGCCTATCCAGACCAGCTCGACCAGACGTCGATACTCAACGAGCCGGACGACGAGTGCGCTCGGCTCGCCTCCTCGCTCGGATACTTTGTGTGTTGTGTATTCGGCCAGCAAGAGGGGAAGAGGAGGAGACGAAGGGGAGCATCCCTGATGTATTAGAATGCCTGCAATTCAGCTTCTTGGTGAAGGCCACTGGGAGGACTCGGAACTATCGATTAGTGCATACCGTAGCCGCAGCCCTGTTTACACTCCTCCTATCGGTGCTGAAGTCGCGAAATGAAACGTCAATGGTGTGTCTCGTCAGTTTCATCAACAATTCACAAGCATCATCGTCTCTTTCGACGTGCCTTCTGTCCGTGTTACAATAATGTCCACTCACTACTGGTTGCCGTGTCTGTCGCTCGCTGTCGTAATGTGTCGCTTGTTCCTTCGAGAACATACATAATGTTGCGCTCATGCTACGACGCAATCGGTCGCAGTCGCTCGCGCGCATGTTCGTCGCGCTCCCTCCCTGGTCGTCCCTGTTTTGTGCTCTCCAGTACGTTCCAATGTGGTGTGTTGCAGTTCTGTTTAAGTCGTAGCTGGCACGTGTGCGTGTACGTCTGCTTGCCTCGTGGCTCCCCACTGCCCGTGCTACATCCGTTCCCTCATTCTCGACTTGTTTTTCGATGGCAGCAGCACTCTGCGTGTGCCAACCCCTGTGTTGATGTTTTCGTCTCATCGTTCTTCCCTCCGCACAGCCCCATTTTTTCCTATTCTTTCACTGTATTTACGGCCTGTTTCTGCTGTCGCGCCGAGATGTCCCTTGTTAGCGCAGCATTTAGTCCCATGTTCAGCCTAGATCGGTACATCGTCCTCGGTGAACGATCGTCCCCCGTTAGGCATTCACTCCTTTACTGTCATGTCGTCGTTCAGTTATCTTTCTCTTGCACTGTTCCCTGTCTCCTTTTCACTACATTTAAGCTTGGTGATTCATTCTGTACTGCACAACTTGAGCTTATATTTATGTATATATGTGTAAGGCAGTAGGCGCGCTATACGGCTCCTAGGTGACACGTTCTTTGACGTGTGGCGTGGCAGCCATGTCAACAATTCTTATAAGCATTCTGACTAGGCACTTCAGATCACGCCAAATGAGTAGTATACAGCATTTCTATGGACATTAATCAGCTATTCTTCACCATAAGTGCCCTACAGTGCTTCTTGCGCGGAATATCAGAAAGGTCTTGAATGGAAAAGCCCTATAGTGCTTCTTGCGCGGAATATCAGGAAGGTCTTGTATGGAAAATCCCTACAGTGCTTCTTGCGCGGAATATCAGGAAGGTCTTGAATGGAAAACCCAGTCGCTTGTGTTCTATTTCGAATCCTGACCAGGTTTGGTGGGAAGTTCCAATACTATGTTCACACTTGTTTGCTGTTGTTGTTATTGTTATTGTTGTTTTGTGTCAAGAGTCATCCTTTTTTGTGATCTTCGATCCTGAAGCAGAAGATCACCTGTGGCCAGTTTTTCACTTATGAGCCAGACTACCGTAGTTGTTTACGGTAACTTTTGTTTCACGCTGGCGGCCTGCGATGTACTAAGTTTGCACTTTTGTTTGTACGTTTCACCGCTAATTAAATGTATACTTTGTTAGCGAACTTTCAGCGATCTCTGTGACCGAAATTCGTCTTTGAGGTTCGACTACTTCCTTCCTTCGTCGTCCTTATTTTCATGGAACCTCCAACTTCTGAGTTCAACTGATCAGTTATTCACTTTTTTCCTGTCAATTTCAGCGATTACGTCCTATCCCCCTTCGTTCGATGATCCTGGTCGTTCAACAAATAGCGTAGTTCGTTTTCATTGTGCGATGATCGTCGCGTTTCTGAAGAATGCCTCACACGAAGGGCCGTGATCGGGGGACGTTTTTTAACATATCGGTCAGTGTTTGTCTCACTGACACTCGCTACACTTTCTCTATCCACCTTCTTTTCCTTCATCACCCTTTAGCTCCCGTCGTTCTGATTGAGATCTTGTCTACTTATAACAAACTCTGATTATCCCTTCGCATTATCGCTATTGCTCTGTCTGAGGTTGTTTTGAGAGCTTGTCCCCGGCGTGGTTGCCGTCATCAATCCTGTTTTCGTCCGCGTGTATGTAATCTCGAAAATAACATGAGCACTACCGTAGTCCCTCAGTGGGCGTGGCACCGCCTTCCGCTCGAGACCAATCAAATCGCGTGTCTGCAGCACGCAACTCGATAGAAACCAAACGCAACACTGACGTGTTCTATGCGTATGCACCACAGATTCACACCTAGGAACATGGGACTTTCTGAATACCGGACGAGTCGAGGATTCCTATGATACGATGCCTGCATCCAGTTGTTCGAGTGTTTTGTAGCTGTGTGGTCTTTGAGCCTTCAGATCATTCCACTCTAACGGTGCTACTTCGAAGAACCTGCTGTAACAAGTAAATCTAACTTTTCTGGTTTAATCAGCAAGTCTGTGCTTTGATGGGATCTCTGACTCGCGTGTGATCTTTGGCTCGTTCCATTCCGTTTGAGCACTTTTTCATCCTTAGTACAACTTCGTTTTTATTCGTTGCCCTTGCTGTGTCCACGCTCACTCGCGTCATAATCCCAACGATGAAAAAGAAAGCGGGAGTCGTGGTAGAACTACGAAGTATAGGAAGGATCCCATACTGCGGAATACTTGTCGGCGATTGCTTTTCGCATGATGCATTGGGTTGCTGGTGTGGTGGGATTTCTCGTCAGTTTCTCTTTTTTTTTTCGTTGTGTATTCGGTCGGAGGCCAGTATCTCCCGATGACAAAAACATTTGCCTCGTCCCTCCCCGTTCTCTTTGCTCGTTGCCGGGCGTTTACGTGTCTCATGCAGCCCCAGTCTAGAAATCACAACGAATAACACGAAGCTCAAAGGCGCGTCTTCGGTGAGTTGCATTCTAATCAAGCTCCCCTTCTGCGTCGACGTCGACGTCGTCGTGGCAGGGACGTCGTAGTTCGTGTGAGTGAGGGAGTGTGTGTGTGTCTGGGTGTGCCTGCTGTCCTCCCTAGCCGCCCTGAAAACTGGGCGTGCCTCGTTTTTTGCCTCGCTAGAATATGCCCCCACACTACATCGCGTTTTTTCTGCGTACTGAACGGACGACGATGCCGCTCCGGTGCCTCGCCCGTTCCCTCTGCCCCGTTGTTTTCGTTGATCACTTTTTTGTGCCTAATTACGCTCAGCGGATATAGGGACAGCAATAAATAGGAGACCTTCGGTGATATGAGGCTAAATGAGGTAAGTTGACTGGAAGCGCTGCTCTACCTCTAACAAGGGACTACCTTCACGGAATCACTGGTCTCCATCGTTTTTCAAGGGGTATCATGAGGCTTAACCCAAAGAGCGAGTCATGTGTGTGAGGCTACCGTGTCCGCCGCCTGCCTATTCGCCGATCGGTCCTGTCCGGCCGTCTGTTCGTCTGTCTATCTGCCCTCCCAGCTATCTGTCTCTATCGATAGGTTGCATACACATGTGCAACCGCTGCCGGGTTACTTTTTTTCCCTCCGAGGTCGCTGACTGAAAATTGTTGTCCACCATTCGTTTCTCCAGTGTATATCTACATGTGTGGATGTTCAAGTAAGAGTATATGTATGTTTATGGGTAAGTTTGTGTTTGTATGTGCCTAAATGTAGTCAGTAGTGAACTGCAACCTTACGAACTTCCTACCACGCACGCGACGGACAGCCGAAAGCGAAAACATGCGTTCGTTTGTTAATTTCTTCCGGTGTTTTCAATCCCTTGATCGTACGATGCCTCTTTAACGTTCATGCTCTCTCCACAGCCGTTCTCCGATCCTTTCAGCTGTGCTGTTATTGTGTATGGAGCATGTGGGGTGGTTGTGTGTGTGTGTGTGTGGTGCGTGGCTATGTTTTCGTCCTCCCGTTGCTCCATGGCGAGTTGTTTTTGTCTGAACGCGGAATAACATCCTAGAAGTATACGGTAGTTTCATAGACCTCTGGCATCGCGTTGGTTGTTGAGCCGTAGCTCGTCGCACGCTCGGCGGCGGCCTGCCGGCTGGCCGGATGGCTAGGCGCGTTCCCTGTTCGCTCCGGCCTCGCGCGCTCGCCTCCTCATTCCTCGAACCCACTGAAACACTAAGGAAGGGTTGGGAGGTGAGTGAACATCAACCTGTTCCAACGGTCACATTGATTTCGATCTCAGAGGGAACTATTTCACTGCTGGACATGGTTTTTTGCGAAAGTTTTTGTCGTCCCCGTCAAGAGGAGACCAGTATGCGACAAGCTGTCACTGCGCGGGAGTTCGAACTTTGAGCAAATGCAAGATTCCCTCAAGGAATGAGATTCTATTGACTCGGCGCTTATTTTTCGTTCGTTTCGACGTCGATTGACCTCGGTCGCCCGCTTTCGACCTATCTATGCGTTCGTTCGGCTGCGCGATGCTCGTATTTTAATAGGACACGTTAACTATATGGCGTTGTTCAAGGTTTTTCGGCTGAATGAAGGTCGTTCGTGAACGCACCGCGCGACCGAACGAACGCTAAAAACGGCGCTTCGCAACAAGCGCCCTCAACCAACAGTCAACCACCGGCCATTCCGTCCCTAGGTCTTCCCTCGCTCTTCCTTTCCGCTGCTGAAACAACCCTTCGACTTCTCAAGAGTGTCTCCTGAAAAAATCCATATACCTTGGCAAAGCATTTTTTCATCCGGCTCCACATCACTCACTTTTTGGTATTACGCTTTTAAGCCACCTGTTTATCGCTACGTGTAATGAGATCGTTTGGCGTGTTTTCCCTAATCTCCCTGGCTATCATCGTTGACGTTATTTCGAGATAGTTTGTCATGATTGCATGGTATACCAGTATAGTTTGTAGCTTTATTGAGTTGCTTGAAGGTGGCCTTTCATCTGGCGAAACGGCTGAGTCTGATGTGAGCGTTATCCTGCTTAAACAGTAAAGAGCGAAGAAGCTAACAATTTTTTCTGAAATTAACTTCATAATACTTACGCATAGTTGTTATTTGTGCCCGATCATGTCGGCATCCCAGCCCGTTGCATAACTGTCGCTACGGTAACCCATTTCATAAAGCGAAGCCTCCTTCGTATTTTCGATGTATATGCTCATTAGTGCTCTGAGCTGTACCATGTCAACACTGTTAGTAATACACCCTTCATATCGACCAACTGGCTGGCGTACATCTGCAAACTCAGCAGCCATAANTTATTAGTTGCTGTTTAGTTGTATTAGCCGATATTTAATGATTCGTAGTAAAAGTGTATGATAGCACTCTCTCTTGTGTTTGATCTGGGGCATCGCTTTTATGAGCAGGAACCCTTTTAAAATAGAGCTCTGCATGATTTTTGAACGGGCAGACAACCATTGAGATGTGGCTCTCTCACGTTCTGTCCACTGCCCACAGCTGAACACATTCCATCTCTGTTTTTTTTCCTGTGAAAACCTCCAGCTTTCTGTATTTTGCGAAATATTTGTGTAAATATTATGTAACACAGCATTGCCCTATTCTTTGCTCATCTCGTCTATCTCTGAATTAAAAGATGAGAGATTCAGCCAGCCGAATGCATGACACTCTGAACACGGACGGAGTTCTGAATGTCGTGCCTTCGACGTTGAATATTGATGTCTTCTTCTCTCTGTTGCGTCGTCGCTACATTGTTTCGTGTGCATATGTCTGAACAACCTCGGATCTCGGTAGTTTAAAGGCGTCGGTATGGTGAGGAAGCCGACGAGTCTTCATCAGCACTAAGAGTCGCTCGTTCTCGCTTGCTCGCTTCTCGTACTTCTTCGTTTCCGTACCAAGGCAGCATCAGCGAAGGGTCGTGACGACGTCGCGTCCGTCGCTATCGCTCAACACCCTGTCGCCACTTTAACTATTATGGTGGACGTTAATAATCTACTCTCCTCGCAGAACTACCTCAACTGGAGTATGCTAAATAAGTTTTATGGCAAGGTGAGTATTGGTAATATAGACTGTGAGAGTGAAAAGCCGTAGAAGAAATGTCTGTTTACCTCTGTAAGTAATCGAGCGAAGAAAACGCGCTATACCTCAGGCATGCCATTCTCAGAAAACTCGTCCTAAAAGAAACCTTTGAATCTTCAAAGTTCATGAATACATAAGTTCCCCTTATATTTGAAAATGTTCAAATAGCATCGTTTGTAGTTTCAAATTAGTCAAGCATCGATAGCTGTTGAAATTCTGTGTTGGTCACATGTTTCATTCGTCCGTAACGTGTTTCATTTGTGTGTTGCCCCACCACCAGCAGCCGCAGCCCCCTCTCCCGTCCCGTCCCGTCCCGTCCCAGAATAGCAAACGACGGGCAAACGAAATTGACGAGAAATTTGATGTATGCATTTTTCATGATTTCACATGCGATTCATTGTCAATTTAAGGCTGCTTTCCTCGGCGCTGATTCATGTGGTTGGTGTTGAACGTAGCCGCTAACGATAGTTTTTTTCTCAACATATTTTCAGATGATAGGAGGGGTGGGAGGGGCATTACTTTAAGCCGACATGATGTCAGAAATTGAACGATTGATTGGACGTGTGTGTGTGTGTGTGTAGCTGACTGATGCTACGAAGAAAACATCTCAAGAAGTGCATCCATTACATTGCAATCATTCTCGATCGATCACATTCTCAATCCCTTCACCCGGAACGACGTTCCGCTAAGCCTGATCACATTCGATCCTCAGTCTCATCTACATCTTGCTGCTGGCATTATCCAGGGCTATGAACCCAACAGTGTACTCATGTTCTGCTAACCAAAAGCCAGCAGTTGCGGTGGTACCTGATATGTCACTGACACCGTTGCAGTTAATACCGTGGTCCATCAATCCTTGGGCAACGCTTTTTGACACCAAATCAGAGGTGGTCGATTCGACTGTTCTTTACAGTCCAGAAAAGCTATTTACTAGTAAGAGAAACTTCTATACTGTGTGAAAGAAACGAAAAATTAAAAGGTCAATGAATGACTAATGAATGCGCCGTGGCGCCCTTCTATTCATCGTCTAGCTCATGGCCGTCGCTCTGTTGCATTCCGAGGAGCATGCAGTTCGTGCAGTAGACTCAACTACCAAGATAGTGTGTAAGAATGCTCGTGTGACTGGAGCAGTGTATGAGGCTGAGATGGAAACAAGTCCTGTGAAGTCATGCTCAGTTACTTATGACTTGTATTTCAGCCGCAGATGAGCACGCCGGACGATCCGGTAATACACTCACCGCCATCTCTAAGTGGTCAATTGATGAATGGTTGGTTCGAATCAGAAGGCCAGTTGAGGAGTTCTAATGAATGTTCTCAGCCTGAGTATTTTAGGTTTTAACCCAACTTTAACTCCTGCGAAAATGGAAGAAGGTATGGCCGCGGCGTGTGCTTCTCCCGATGTCGGCGGCATCGATCCAAACAGCGATGGAGTAAGAAAACCGTTATTGTTTTCTATTTCTCTTTCTCTACATGCTCTACGTGGATGGATGATGTGAATAGACTCCCAGAGCTTTTAATCGTTGAACAGGGAGTGTTTGATTTCTGTTCATGAGAATGCTAGAAAGCAGACGTAGAAAAAATTGCTCGCTCTTTGCTCATTGTTCATGGCTGACTCGTCGGCCGCTGTTCGATTGCGTTGTGATGTTCTCTGGTTCTAAAAGGTCATTCCGCTGGTAAAACTAGACGGGAAAAGACCTCAGTTTGTCCTTATAATCGATCCACACACACCATCGAAATGTCCATATTTTCTAGGAGGCACGGCGTCGGCAGAAGACGTGTCGAGTATGCGGTGATCACGCTACCGGTTATAACTTCAACGTCATCACATGCGAATCATGCAAGGCGTTTTTCCGTCGAAACGCTCTCCGGCCAAAGGTTTGTCCCATTGATGCGCGAGCGCGATTGGAATTGATCAATCGATAGCATTCTCTTCAGGAATTCAAATGTCCCTACTCTGAGGACTGCGAAATCAACGCGGTCAGCAGACGATTTTGCCAGAAGTGTCGATTGCGAAAATGTTTTGCTGTGAGTTACAGCTATCGTATCGCTTTGAGATCAATCGATCATCGATCTCGACTGTTACTGTACAATAGGTATGCGTGCAAAGTTGAACGAACTGTTTTCAGGTGGGCATGAAAAAGGAATGGATTTTGAATGAGGAACAGTTACGACGACGAAAAAATTCCCGACTCAACAATATGGCCAACCAACAGAGGCAAAAACAGGTTCGTTTCGTACAGTACTGCCGATGAATCTTATGAGGGGACGTTCCATCGACAAGTTCGTTCTGAAGAAACCAAAATGCATATAATTTAAGGAACTTGCACGACAACATGCAGCTGTAAAAGCGATGACATCGCCATTGTCAATTTCGCCGATGGTCGATGCCCAGGTTGGTTTTTATTACACAAGTCAGGTGAAGTTCCTCTACAAACAAGAGGGTGCAGATTCTGATGCATGGGTGGGTGAGCGTTGCGCCCGTTGATAATGCGAGTGGTGTAATTTTCACCATAAATGTCCGTCTTAATGTTGAGGAAAGGCCCTTGTTTTGAAGTTTTGTGGTTGTCACGGAATCCAACTAGTTACCTTTCTAAACTGTCATTGAATGCACGAATTTGGACCTTTAGTTTCAGCTGGGAGCGCTCAGTGGCCGTGGTGGTATACCGCCTTTGGTTAGCCCTGCTGGACAGGTATGTCGAAGTGGTTGTTCTAAATTTCTACTTCTTACATTTTGCAACATCTGGTTATTCCAGTATCCCTTAATGAGTCCTGCTGGCTCTGGTGCTTCCGACTCACCTCCATCACGTCCTCTTGGCCTAATGACTGGTAATCAAGGAAGTCCAGATGCTGTAAGTTGACATGCGATTCAGACTTCGGCGGAAGAAGAAATCAGCTTTTCCGTTGTTTGAACAACTATTTTCAGTACGAGTCCAACATGATGATGCAACAACGTCTACGGTCACAGTTACCTCAAACGAATATGGCTGGTAGTAAGGTCGTTGATCCATCTCGTCAAGTAAGCACCACTCATTTTTCGATTCCTGACGCAATGACATGAGAACTCCTAGTTTTGCCGCGTGCGGTCGCGTCGCGTCCGCGTCTAAAAGATTTCATTGTGTTAGGGCACACGCACCGCTATCCGACCTGTGACACTATGCATTGGGCCGTTCAAAGCGNATTATTTCCATGGACGAATATCATAGCCTTGTACAACGAGCAACTCGTCCAGGTGAAGATGAGCCGCTTGCAAAGAGGTTAGATCTTTAAGGGCTTAGTACGTAGGGAACAAAGAGGACGTTTGGGTATTCTAGGGCCGCATACTCGCCTACCGACTTGGTGGCACCGCAACCGCGATCATTCCAATCTCCCACCAGTCAAATGCTGCCGGTCCATAACGTTTCACAGATTCGAGCAGGTCAGGTCCACGTTACAATGGCTGATTTGGGAACAGTTTTCTAAAAACTATGGGCTTTCAGGAATTCCCACCTACACGGATCTCGGGGCCGCTACCAGTGGTGATCTACCAAAGCCGTCGTTTACCACCACCAATTATGATGAAGGTTTGGAAAAAATGAATATGTTCTTCCATAACACCATCGAAGATGCCTTGAAGATCGACAGTCCAGAAGACCACTCCGCGTCGGCTGGTGTAGCGTCGTCCACGTCTGCGAGCTCCGGTAGTCAAGCTGTGGAGGTAAATCAGTGGATGCAATTGCCAAAACCTCTCCATTCTTCTTATCTCTGGAGACTTCCGGTTATAAACGTTTGCACAACACCATAGCACCACCCCAAATCCAGGATCGAGGTTTTTGTTTTTAGGCAGAAACATCTGGAACCTCGTCATCCAACACATCCGATAAGAGGCTCAGCTACCAATTGAACTCCGCGGAACTGCAAGCACTTGATTTGGTTGGTCTTCAGGGGGACCTTTCCCTTTTCAACATGTCATCGGCAAAAGTTGTCCTTTCAGGTCCAAGAAGCATTCAAAGGCATGAATGACCCCATGGAACAAGGACGTCAGAAAATGTCATTTTTGAAGGTATGTACTTACCAGTATAGCCTTTGTAAAGATTATTTATTTCATTGGCATGGATATGTTTTAGAACGAGAAATCACCTGCGGACATAATGAACATCATGGATGTGACGATGCGTCGATTCGTGAAAATGGCCAAGAAGCTACCGGCTTTCAACGAACTCAGCCAGGATGGTAAATTCGCGCTATTGAAAGGTGCGCCAGACGTTTCACTCAGAGCCATACTCGTTCCCATTAACTTGAAGATTTTGCTGAGTCTCAGGTAGCATGATCGAAATGCTGACGGTTCGCGGTGTTCGTCGTTTCGATAGCAGCTCGGGTGCGTGGACGACGCCAACTTTGAAGGAGAGCTGTGAGGTGTCCATCAACATGTTCGATCAGCTCAACGCCGATGTTCGATCTGAGCAGAAAATGCGCTTCCTACAGTGAGTCTCCACTAGCTGCTGAATCATACTCTGAAATCTGTAAGTCTCTCTACTTCAGGTTCTTCAAAATCTTCCACGAGGATATCCGAAGCAACGAGCTGGTCATCTCCATGATCATGTTGATTGTGCTATTCTCGCCAAGGGACTGTATAACGGATCCTGAGGATCGTCGGATCATAGCAAGGCACCACGAGCAGTACTGCGCCCTTCTGAACAGGTATACTGGTTAACGATCCTGTTTAGTTAGAAAGCTCCCGCGAAGTAGACCGAATGGGTTCATACCCGTTGCAGGTATTTGGAGTCATTGTACGGTGATGATGCTCACAAGTTGAACGAGCAACTTCCAACAGCTCTTCGTATGTTACGTGAGATATCGGCATCATGTGGTGTACTGTTTTTGGGCACGGTGAACACGAGCGAGGCTGAACCGCTACCTCGTGAGTTCTTCAAAGTCGAATAGGCTCGATGGCTAACGACGGATGGCCTCACACTTTCCCTCCTCCTCATCGATTGATGTGCTTGATAATTCGAACTAAATGAGCATACACATTCGTATTTTGTCGTATACATAACTAATATTCATCCAATTCATGTGTCATCCATTTTTATTTTGATGATTATTGATTGTTTTCTTTTCGTTTGGCTTTGAGTTTTGGAATATTGTTCGTCGGCCTATATGATATTCACGTTCATGCCCCCCCCCCCCCNCCCCCCCACATCGCACTCGGTTAAGCCCTCCATCGTCGTTTGCATTGGCATTCATGTGTCTCCTCACATCATCGTTACTGTTTGGCGTAGATCCTCTTGTAGAGGTGCAGACGCTGTGTTCCCCTCAGAGAGTGTGTCATCTTTCACGACCACATTTTTATTCATGTTTCCCTGTGAAATTACACACACATATATACACACAGCAGGCTTGTTTTGGTTATCACCTTTCCCCCTCTTCCTTCATTTTGTAACGTTTTTTTGCATGTCCTCTTCCTCTTGTTCTTCTTCCTCCCCCCGTCCTCCTTCTTCTACTCATTCTCCTCCTCCTCATCCTTCTCCTCCTCGTCCTACTCTTCCTCCTCTTCCTACGATGTCGTAATCATATGGTAATACCTCATCCCCCTTTGTGATTCGTAGTTTTTGACGACTATTGACGGATGTACTTTCTCTGTTATATTGTCCTTATCATCATCATCATCGCAGCACACATGAACACATGCACGACCCCGTTACTTCAAACTAAACAGTAATACCATATAATGATGAATACGCAATCAACTGGTATCCATCTGTCCTAACTGTTCATTCATTTTGTCACCGTTCGTTTGTCATCCTTCATGTGTTATCGTCATCATCATTCGTTATCATTTATTACTCTCCTCAAATTTTCATAGTCGTTACGTTGTATAATAGTCGAGTGTCTGACACCGGTTACGCTAGAGTACGGAATTCGTGAAAAGCTTATATGAAATTCCATTATCGAATTGAGTTTTTACCGCCTCATCCCCTTAATCTCCCCCCACCCCGTAAATGTCATACTATCAGAGAATGAATGCAATGCACTGTATCGTATCTGGTTATATCATCTCTATTCGGTAGCGTTCGTTCGTTCGTTCGTTCGTTCGTTCGTTCATCAGAATTATTATGTGTTTTACTGAATTGTCGAACTTCTATTTGGCCCCGGTTTATTGTCCTAGAAAAACCTCTCTAGAAACTACCTCCAGTGAGTTTATCTCGACCTTGTGTCCTAATATTATTTTTTTATTATTTATAATTGGTTCGATAATAATAAGAGCGCTTGTTGTAAGTGTTTTTTCATTTCTACTTCAATTATTTTTTTTCTACAACCACCCACCCAGTTCTACTTTCACCCCTCTCCCCTCTGGAGTAATCCCGTTATCATAGTGCAATTAGGTGTGGGATTTGGAACTTGTTTTTGAAATGTTTCGGCCTACAGTAACCCCCATAGAAACCCATGGATTTTGATGGAAACATCTGCACAGCTACCTAGAGCATACCCCAATTCCGATGGTTCGCGTTCGAGTATGCAAAATCGTTATGCCTTGACATATTGGGAAATTTACCGTTTCAAATAGGCGACGCTCTGGGTCGATTTTCGACAACTGGTTTTTACTGGATAATTTCCATTGTTGGTTATTTTTTGGTACCGATGTGTAACAAACACACAAGGTGATTAAAAAGAGGTATACAGGTTCCCTAGCGGGGACAAATCAACACTTGGCGCCCATCCCATCGGTTACCTTGCAAGGTTCCAGCTCGAAATGGGCATCTTTGGACGAGTTATCCCACTTCACGCGTAACACACGTGCATAGTTGTCGTCTGTCGTCCTCCCGTTCGTCTGAACAAGAAGAGATGGTGTAAACGAGCGCGGACCATGATCTCCAGCCCGGGTCACCGCTTTTCCTCATCCGGTGAAATAGTACTTGTTCAAGGATGAATTATGAATGGCAAAAGTGGCAGTTATATTTTAGCTTAGCGTCTGCGGTCCGTGTTACCTCAATTTTCTGTTTCGAGTCTCACGCCGCCCACACTCCGCGGCCACATTGTTTTCTATGATTAATCGTCGTCTGAAGTTATATTTGAGTGTAAAGAGAGAATAAATCAGCTATTTTAATCAATGTGTGTTGACCAGCATGCTATATTTGTTGACCATAAGATCGTGCCTTTAAACTTCAATCAAGTACTCAAACAACATAAAAACTTTAAAATTCCTGCACGGCTTAATTCGATTTCTGGTGGAACGTGAAAGTGAGGAATGAGGGGAAAAAATTGTTTGAAATCCTATGCGAAGCCATCTTCATATCTGGTAAGGTGGTCCTCCAAATATGGCGACGTTTTGGACTGTCTTGGACCCCACTTTTCGTGCACCCTAGGAGGTCTTGTAGGCGTCAATCCCATTCCACAAAAGTGCTGCTTTTAGCTGGCTGAGGTCGTCTACTTTTAATATACTCTTCCAACTTTCTGCTCTCTGACTACTTACTAGTATTCACCTAGAATGTAAGTCAATGACGTGAAATATTGTATAACCGTGTCGCATAAAAGGCCCATGAAACTCAAGAGAGTTCGAGCTCCGAAATTGATGTGAGACGTTAATGGGCGAGCCGCTCATATGGATCTGAAATTACCGGAAATTCTTACTAAAATCCTTGGAATTATTCGCCCATATCTCTCGATTTGTAGTTTTGTGAAATTCGAAGAAAGGTCCTTCTCCCCTCCCTCTCGGGTTTCCCGGCAGGTTGTGAAATTGAAAAGGGATAGTCCAGGGATAAAGCGCATGTGAAGGACCGAAGAGGCTGTGGCCCCCAGAAGAACAATCACGGGAATGTTGTTCGGAGTGCCAGTGTACTATGCTTCCACCGTGGGAGGCCAAGGAATGCTTCATTTCATCCTCCACAACGTCTAAAGCAATGAGAACCGGAAACCTTTCGGGAGAACGTTCCGGGAAAAAAGGGCAGATATAGTGCACATCATCTGCTGATTGTACGAGAATGTGACGATGGCTTCTTCTCATATAATAGAGAATACCCTCATAAGCGGACGGATTAAAGTAATCTGATGAGCCTCATCCCTTAATCGAAGTAGAAGCTTTTTATCAGGCATTCCAAATAGTGGCAAAGGGTCGAAGAAAATGAGCCCAAGTTTGCAACGAAGAGTTGTGGACAGTAGGAGTTCTCACCCGTTTGGTTCTGATATACAACACAATTTTTCAAAAAATAACATCGAAATTCCCCTTCGTTGAGACCTGGGAATTTGCGATTAATAAGTTTAAAGATGCTTTTATACCGAACAGGTTTATTAGTGGCAAACATCGCTTGACGATTAGACAAACTTCTATCCTCAAGCGAGTGAAAGCGTTTCGAAAGTTCCAGAGTGCTACCTACACATCACGTTGACACGGACCATTTCTTGATTATTTGCAGTTCGGACCAACAAACTTCAAGCTAGGTAGAATAAAAACAAGCCATTCACGTCAACTCCATCATCACCGAGCTCTGCTCAACTTCGGAGGAGCAACTGAGACTGTCCTGTTGCCCATGCTCCACTGATTGGGCCTGACACCAAGCGTATCGTTTCTCACTGTCAAAACTCACGCAATGGGATGTAAGGCGAGAGTTTACCAGTTATGTTAACGCATTAATTGCTGCTATTCATACTTGGGTTTTGGTTCCTTATCCAGAGAGCATTCTGTGTTTTCAGTCGGCCTGAACCGTGCATTTCAGGACAGAGCCACAATCAGCACGATTTTCCCATCCCTGCTTGCCAGACGGCGCACCTGAGCTGTTCCTTTACTTACTAGCCGAATAATCTTTTATACGGAGCATTATTGTTTCCAGATTCTCCATCATACATATAGCTAATTTTAAGGGCTACACGGTTAGGATGAACCAAAGGTACAGAAAATCTGGGATATGTAGCATGTCAAACGAGTTATACCACGTTCTTTGAAATACAGGGCTCAATACAAGTCTTAGGTTCGGATAGGATAGAAGATGAAGGCACCGAAACGTGAGCTTAATAAAGTTTGCCACAATCTCGGTTCTACAGCCTAAAAAGGAAACCTCAAAGCTTCAGATACCATTTATATCACTTCAGTTGAGCGCATCTGTACAGCAGTGTCTCAGATGAGCGGTTCAACGCAATGACGTCTTCTAGGCTATCACAACAAAAGACTTGAGCACAGTTCATTCAGAAATAGCCTCGATGCTGGAGTTGCACGTATAGCTGTGTTCTTCGCTAACCATCGTCGATGTCTGGCATATTATGCTGTATTGGAGGAACTGGGAAACAATTTTGAGTTCTCCTAAAAGAACACTTGTCAAGTAAACGAAAGAATGGCATGGTTGCACGGCATGGCAAACACAGAAGGGTAAGCCGTGCGAACTGAGTTTCTGAAGGAAATCCTCGATTTAGTTTACTAGAACTATATAGGGAATTCCTCGAAGCTTTCTGGATGATGCTCCACTAATAACACGTTGGCCTTGACATCACTTACATCAGTTCTTGCTATCATAGCTCAGCCTGTAGGACATGTAGTATGACTGACCGGAGAGCCTCACTTCCTCCATCATTTCCGAAGTTGAACAAGCACTTGGGGAGCTTGTTGTTGGGCCTCCAACCATGTTTGGAGTTCTTTGACTAAGAATTAGCCAAGCTGTCTGCATTGAGCAGAAAGGTAACACTGAAAAAGTTTCGAAAAGCTTCCAGACTTTGTCCCATTAATGCTAAGAATGTTTCGCACAAACACATTTCTTACTTCTGAAAATTAATTTTTTTGAAGACCTACTGGTATAGACTGATCTAACATCACAGATCAATCAAATTCCTCAATGCACACAAGTATGTATGGAAATCTTCCAGATCATGTCAATCACAGCGACATCCGAAATCCTACAAAAAAGAAGCAGGGAGTAGGTGTGACAGCTTGTACTTCCTGAAATCAATTCGAGAAA